GGAGTGCTGTCCCATCTGCCCCTGTGCAATTGGCAAACCATACAGAGGTGCAGTAAGTTAACATTATCTTGTAAGCAATTGACAAATCAAATCAATAAGGCAGCTAATCATGTCACCGCTAGCATTTCTCATTGTTAATACTAGATATACCCAGTTCACCCAACCGTTCGTTTTATGTTTTAGCATCCAATCCCCCGAACCTATTTCTAAAACTTAAGCCTGCTCTCCAGTTTTTTTTTTATTTATTCTTGGCGGTTATGCAGTCATCAAACGTACAACGGTTCCTTTTATAGTGTCCATTCGAAGTTACATCAGTGAGAAAAGTGACTTATGACCAAGTTTCACCCTTATGACCACTGCAGCATTCCCCCAAAGCCATGTGATCAAAATTCCTAAGCTTGGCAACTCGGTTCGTACTTATAACGGTCGCCGTGTTCCGGGATCCCCTTTTGCAACCTTGTGATCAAGTCAAGGAGGAAGCCAGATTCACCAAACAACTTAGTAACTTAATAGCAGTGATTTACTTAACAAATGTCTCACTTAATATAATAATTTATAATAATTTAAATTTTGGGGGGTCAATTGCGGTTGTTAATTACTTGTATGCAATTTTAATCAAACCTCCTGAGATCACATCGCATTTCTCTTCTTTTGAATAACCCACAATACCAGAAATAGTTAAGTATTTCTGCCTAGGAAGAAAGAAAAAGGACCCACAGACTTCGCAACCTCCAAGCAAAAGAGGGAATTCAAGTATCAAGAGGCCAAACATGCTTCGTTATGAATTCTTTAATTTATACACCTGTTCCACAGCAGGAAAATCACATTATAGAGAGAGAAATTAAAACCCTCAATTGGTATTAGCCCCATCACAGAAATACTGTTATTTTATATATATATATATTATTTTTTTTAAAAAAAGGGAAATTATAAAAGGACCAAACCCACCCACCCCGAGATCCTAAATTAAATGTCCTCGTTAAAAAAAACCAAATGTACTTTGAAAAGAAATGGGGAGGTTTTGAGGTCTTAAAAGAGGGTGGTGTGTGTTTACCCTAACCCTCCCTTGGAGTGAAACGGGCAAGAGAGGAAGAGAAACAATAAACCTTTATTCCCAGATGGACCAGGAAGTTTTCCCTAGGACCGAACGGGTCCTTCTTGCTGTTTAATAAGAGTTTTCTTGGATTAAAACTTTTTAAGGTGCGATAACGCAAATCTTCAGGAATGGAGTAGAAAAAATGCATGAAGAACCCACTGGGAGGAAAAATAATAATAATAATAATGCAAAAGAGGCGCTGCATATGAAACCTGCCGTGGGAAGGAAACTTGAAAAATGGGGAGGGAAAAAAAATCTCCATCTTAAAGTCTTTCCAAGTGGACTTCAACTCCCAGAATTCCACCCCTCTGGTTGGGGAATCTTGGGAGTCCACCCATTGTAAAACTGCCCCCAAGTTGATAAAAACATGGCTCTGTTCAGGTGTGACTCTCGATCCCATCTCAATAATAAATCAAAACTTTGGCTTGGAAAGTCCTGGAACCCGCCTTGTTCCAGCGAGGAACGGATTAGGAGAGGCCGATGGGTTATAGGTAATAGCAACAGCACTTAGACTTATATACCGCTTTATAGTGCTTTACAGCCCTCTCTTCTTTTTCTGGAATTTTGGATCGCCGATGAAAAAGTCAGAGAGGAAGATTTGACTTCTCCCAGACCCCAAACCAGAGTTTCCCACATCCTGACATCCACGCATCTCACTGAGACTTCCAGGATATTTTGGCCTGTTTCCAAAATGAAGGAATGCCCAAATTGGGGGAGGGGGGGGAAAACCCCCCCCCCCCCCAAAAAAAAACTCTGGCACCTGTGGGCTGCTCTTGGCAGGGACAGGAAAGTCGCTGGCTTGGTTAGTGATTTCCATCTCAGTTTTGTCCTGCTTGCTTAGGGGGAAAGCAAGAGGGTGGGTGAGTGGGGGAGAGATAGAGCGAGGAGCAATTTCCTTCCCTTAAACCAGGTTGCATCGTGAAAATGCTGCAATGCACCAAACCTCTTTTGCAGGCACGTTCTCCCCGGGAAGGTTGGTGATATTGCGGAATGGAAGGGCTGAGAGGGAGCAAATAGGCAACTTTTTTGGGGGGGGGGAGGAGAGGAAAGGGGTGTCAGGTACAAGAGCCGGAGAACAATTACTATTTAGGGGTTCCCAGAGGCCCGCTGGAAGGACGGGTGGACATTTATTCAAAGGCTAAGCGGGAGTTTTACCTCCTCGGGGCAAACCATTTGGGGGCTGCTCGGCCTGCAAAGACATTCCCCCCAATTCCCCCCCCCCCAAAAAAAATAATAATATTGTCACTAATGGAGGGCTAACAGGTTGTCTGAAACCCACTTCGGTGCACCCAGTGCAAAAGGAACTGGGACTTTGGCCGTGCAGGTAATACCGCCAAGATCCAGTTCAAAATCCAGACCAAGGCGCATGATTCCCTTCAGCTTTTAACAACGCACATTTTGTGGCATAATTACGTCCTATACAAGGTATGCATTCTAGACACTTCTCGGGGTGTGCTACGTGAGCCAGCGAGCCAGGGAGGGCGCCTTGCAGATTTACAGTTACGCAAAAGAGAAGGCTGCCGCCTGAAATTTATTCCCGACTGTTGTGGTTGTTTGAGGAGTCTATTAGTCCCCCACAGACGACGTTACCAGGTGCCAGTTCCAGCCACAGCCCAAGAGAGAAACAAGAACTAGGGGAAGGATCAGCAGTGGAGAGTAATAAGAAGAGTTAGCCGTAGATCTGAAGGAGGAGAAAAGTTAGCTGTAGAGCTTAGCAAGAAAATTTAGCTATAGAGCTTAACAAGAACATTTAGCTATAGAGCTTAACAAAGGAAAGGCTCAGCTATAGGGCTTAGAAGAAGACTCAGCCATAGAGTTTAACAAGGAGAAGGCTCAGCTATAGGGCTTAGAAGACTCAGCCATAGAGTTTAACAAGGAGAAGGCTTAGCTATAGAGCTTAAGAACTAAAAGCCACATGATTTAACAAGTTAGCTATAGCGCTTAACAAAAGAGGATTAGCTATAGTGCTTAAGGAGAATGGTTAGCTATAAAATGGAACAAGAAACATTAGCCATAGTGGTTTAGCTATAGAGCTTAACAAGAAAATTTAACAATAGAATTTAACACAGAGAAAGGATTAGCAGTAGACCTTAATGTGTTGAGCAATAGAGCTTAACTTGGAACAAAAGCTTAACAAGAAAGGTTAGCAATAAATCTTAAATAATATCCTTCCCCATGGCTAGATCCTAGATCTCTGGGATAGATACACAGTCAGCAGTAGATTCACTCAGTTGCTGGGATCAGAAAAGATCCAACTCAGGTCTACCTTCTTGCTAAGAGCTGTAAAACCACCCTGCTTTCCAGCCAACATTCATCTCCGCTAGAAAGTAAAATGGCTCTCTTAAGCTTGGGGTAGCTCCTCCTAATCTTCTGTGACCTCCAAGCAGTTGCAACCTCACCTCTAGGTTTGGAGAACCAACCATCCAAAATCTCCACTGTGGGCTGTTGGAACCATCAACTGAAGCGCCCCCTCACCACAAAAAAAGAGAACACAACACACCTTCAGATTTTGCCATCTTGAGCAGCTCTGCTTAATTTATCAGAAGACACGGCCAGGGGACTTCCCAAATGCCTTATGGCTGACAGTTCGGTTCACACAGCAAACCAAGAGAGAAGGCATTCGGTTTGGGCTTAACCATGACGGCTTTTAAACCATGATTTGTGTGGGGGGGTTTCTCGTGCATTTTCCAAGACTGGGAATTGAGAGTCCAAAATATGCAACAGTTTTACAGAGCATAAAGACAGGAATTTCAAAGATTGGTAAATTATGCAACTCTTGTTTTAAGAGTTTTATAATGCCATTTTCTTCCCACGGATTACAAACCCTTCCCTGCTTTGTAACAAAGAGAAATGGAAAGAAATAATAATAATAATAATAATTTACTATTTAAACTTTTGCGCTCTTGCCTACATTCCCCGCCAAACGAGTGAAGGTGTTCACCCGGGCTGCGGAAATGGACAGAAGCAGCAATTTCAAAAATTAAACCAGCTTCTGATTCGGCGGGATGAGAACCGGAATGGCTCCCTCGCCCTCCGCTCCAATCAAAGCTGAAAGAAGCCAAAAGAAAAAGAAAATAAAAAAAGATAGAAAAACCCAAGGGAAAAAGGATCCAACGCAGCACGGAGCACCCAAGCCAGCCACCAAAAGGACACACACACAAGCTTTCCAGTCACTTCCCAAGCAGTTCACCCTATTTTTACAGTTTGGAAAGCGGAGCGGATCGCTACCCTCCTATGCGCACCTCTCTTGATCGCGTTTCAAAGTCGCCACCTCCCCATCCGGAAATCCAGCGGAGCTCATGTTCCGAATAACACGTGAGAGATTTTGGGGGGGGGGGCGGGGGGGAGGGGGGGGGAGGAGGGGGAGGGAGGGAGAGGGGGGAGGAGGGAGAAGGAAAGAGGGAGAGGATGGAGACAGAGGAGAGGAGGAAGAGGGAGAGAGAGGGAGAAGGAAAGAGGGAGAGGATGGAGAAAGAGAGGAGGAAGAGGGGGAGAGACAGGGAGAGGGAGGGAGAAAGAGGGGAGGAGAGAGGGAGAGGACGGAGACTGAAATGCAGAGAGGAGGATGCAGTGGGAAGGAGGAGAGGGAGGGAGACAGGGACATGGAGTGGGAGGGAGAGAGGGAGAAGGATGGAGACTGAAATGGAGAGAGGGAAGGAGGGAGAGGGAGGGAAGGAGAAGGAAAGAAAGGGAGGAGGAAAGAGAGAAGGGGGAGTAAAAAAAATAAAAAGAAAGCCGCCACCACTATCTGTCCTTCAACCCCTTTCTCTTAGGCACCAGAAGAAAAGCCCAATCCTTAAGACAGAGGAACAAAAACCGTGTTTTAGATTCTCTTTTTTCCTGGCTGTATTTTTATCCTTCTCTCCACCCACCACCGCCCAAGCCCAACGTGTGTGTGTGTGTGTTTTTCCTCTTTTTACACTGAGAAGGTCGTCTCTTTGCTTCTGTGCCATCGAGGGAAGGAAGCCAAGGATCAATAAATTACAGTTCTCTGGAAAAAGTGCTGCCTTGTCCTAAGTGGGGTGTGGAGAAGAAGAGAGGTGTGTGCTGAGGAGGAAAGGAGAGGAGGAGGAGGAGGAGGAGGAGGCCAAGTCCATCACGCTGCACTTTCTCTCTCGCCGTGGGGCTCCGCTGAGCCGTTGGCTGTTTTCTTGACTTTCTTCATACCCTCCATCACGCCCGAGGTGGTCACCCTGGGAAGGACAAAAAAATAAAAATAAAAAAGGGTTTTATTTACTCAGGGACAAGGGGGATATTTCCGCCCTGCTGTCCAGCAGAGCCTGAGGGACGGAAGCTGCCTGCACAGAGATCAGTTCAGGCCTTAGCAGCGGTGTGAGAGCTGTGGCTGCAGGCTGCATGGCGGGAGGGGAGGAAGCGGTGGCGCTTGATGAAGGAGAAGGAAAAGAGATGATGAAGAGAGAATAGAACAACACAGAGTTGGGAGGGACCTTGGAGGTCTTCTAGTCCAACCCCCTGCTCAAGCCGGATATAACCATTTCAGACAAATGGCTGTCCAGCCTCTTCTGGAAAACTTCCAGTGTTGGGAGTATTCACAACTTCTGCAGGGAAGCCATTCCACTGATTGATTTTTTTCACAGTCAGGAAATTTCTCTTGAGTTCTAGGTCGCTTCTCTTCTTGCTTAATTTCCATCCGTTGCTTCTTGTCCTGCCCTCAGGAGCTTTGGAGAATAGCTTGACTCCCTCTTCTTTGGGGCAGCCCCTGAGAGGTTGTAACACTGCTATCGTGTCTCCCCTAGTCCTTCTTTTCATTAAACTAAAAATACCCAATTCCAGCAACCGTCCTTCGTATGTTTTATCCTCCAGTCCCCTAATCGTCTTTGCTACTCCTCTCTGCACTCTTTCCAGAGTCTCAACATCTTTTTTACATTCATGGCAACCCAAACTGTTTGCCGTGAACCAAGGTGTTCAAACCAGGGTATGATTACGTCTGTGGTCTGGCATTTTCGATCAGGAAGTCCCCTTTGGCTGAGTTTTCAGCCTCACACCATGAGGCTTAACCTCTTCAGCGCCTTCTTGCTCCCTTCCTCATCAGCAATTCAGCTCTGCTGCCACAAAATTCACATCTCCTTGGTCGTAAAGCATCCAAAGGTGGGCTCAAAGGAGAACACCCCCCCCCAAATAAAATAATACCAATAAAATAATGCCAGGGGTGCCAGCTGATTTTGACAGAGAGCTTGTTCGTGAATGTGACACTCTTATTTTTTTTTTTCTCTTCCTTGCCCACTTCCGTAATATTTAGCCTCAAGATCCTTCGTCATCTTCGTAGCTCTTCCCTGGATTCTCTTGGACATCTCCAAGAAAAGTCTGCGCAGATATTTCTCGGGGTTGGCTGTTTCATTTGGCTTCCTGCCCTGAACAGGAGACTGGGCTGCCTCAACCCTCATTTGCAACTCTGATATAAATGATCAGTTGTTTTGTGTGTCTGCCAAAACGTGTTTTTTTTTTTAAAATGTAGCCTGCAGCATTTTAAGGCGGTGCGCATATTCAAAGGGGGGAAATATGCCACTCAGATCCTTTAAATGTAAATAAAACCCTCAGACAAACTGCATTATGAGCTCCCAATGATTATCCTTGTGGTGTAGTTGCTTTTTAAGATCACTTTTTTTTTTAAAGTTTCTGGGGAAAAGGAACGGTGAGTCCTATGGAGGAATCCTTGAATTTCCAGCTTCCTTTTTAAGAGCTTGAGGGTTTTATTCTCCCAACAGACAAATTCATAGCACCCAGTTTACCTCTATTTTAAAAATGATTTAAAATCCCTGGAGGTTTTGCAAAAAATAGACTGGACAACCACTTGACTGGAATGGTGTAAGATCTCCTGATTTGAGCAGGGGGGTGAACTAAAAGACCTCCCAAGTTTCTCCCAATTCTGCAATTCTGTTGATCATCCAGCGTTATCAGGCATGGTATGGACTGATCCCTACTTTGCCCAGGTCAGAGCTCCCAGGCCCAGGCGCCTTGGGCTCCGACCGCCCCAGGATAGGGAAGGCTATCCCAGAGGGCTGTGACTTACACAGATTCCATGTCCAAACTATCGTCTTCCTGAGAAAGCTGCAGATAAGGGTTGTCGGAGGCCGGCCTGAACTTATAGCCAGTGAGGACAAAGAAGACCAGGGTTGCCATTTCGTGCAGCAGCTGCAACAACAGACACAGAGACAGAGACAGAGACAGAGACAGAGAGAGAGAGAGAGACGATCGTTAAGTCCCTGTTTTCGGTGCCGTTTTTATTAAACGATCACGAAATGAATTGCCGTTAAAAAAATTTTTTTTGACCTGTTTTGTAAAGAGGGTGGGGTCAAAAGCTATTAATTGTTGCAATAGATCCACCGTAGCTAAATGTCTACGGAGGCTAAAAGGGATATAGGAGGAAGGAGCCACCTACCTGGTAAAGCCACTTCCACTGGAATGGAACTGCAATCTTGATGAGGATGGCGATGATGCGGGTGAAGTAAATGTAACAGACGATCTGGAGGTGGGGGGGGGGAAGGGAATAGTTAGTTAGTTCCAGAAGAGGAGATATGTCCTCAGACAGTGGCACAGGACAGAACAGACTCTGGTTCCCACCAGAGAATCCAAGTCGACCTAGAACTATCCTGTCCCAAAACTTCCAGGTCCATTGGTGGTCAGGTGGGTCCATCTCAAATTCCACCTGTTGAGAAGTAAGGCCTTGGGCCTTCTTCCATCATCCCTCACCCTTCTTCCTCGGGAAGTGAAAGGACGCTTCTCGCCGGGCCAAACGGAAGGGAAGATGCCACCCACCCACCCCGTCAACTTCTGCAGGAGGACCGCTTTTGGGAAGGTCCCTTCTTCAACCTGGGGCTCCCTCAACCTTACCAACTTTCAGATAGGTGGACTTCAAAGAAGATTTTCTTGTTTGAAGTCGTGTCGAAACAGGAGTGAGTGGAGTGGAGAATAGACAATAGAAAGTAGAGCAGTATTGACTAGAACAGAAAATAGAGTAGAATAGAGAATAGAATAGAGAATAGAGTATAGTAGAGAAGAATAGAGAATAGAATAGCATTAGAATAGAATAGAAATAGAGAGTAGAGTAGAATAGAAAAGAATAGAAAGTAGAATAGAGATAATAGAGAGTAGAGAGTAGAATAGAAATAGAGTAGAGTAGAGTAGAGTAAATAGAATAGAATAGAGAGAACAGAAAATAGAGAGTAGAGTAGAATAGAAAAGAATAAAAAATAGAATAGAGAGAATAGAGAATAAAGTAGAACAGAATAGAAATAGAATAGAATAGAGAATAGAATAGAAAATAGAGAGTAGAGTAGAACAGTCCAACCATCTGAAAGTTATCAAGCCTACAAAACATTGCTTCAATCAATCAGGAGACCCCAATTCTAGAGCTGTCTCCTTTTTAGGGGGCAGGAAGCAAATATGGGGATCGTTGTAAGCATTAAGGCATGAGCCTCCTGCAGCATCTGGATAGGCAACCTGAAAGGGCTACATGCCATTTCAGGATATAGTAGAGGAGAGCTAGATTAGGACGAGGGGTCCTGTCTTCTCCTCAACGGGGCTGGGGAATGACGGCTGCGGAATTCTGGGAGTTGAAGTCCACAGGCTTGACAGTGGCCAAGGTTGGACACCCTTCATTTAAAACCATCATCCCCTGGGGAGGAAATGATGGTTTCCATTTAAAGAAGGAATCTGGGTTGCTCCAAAAAAGGGGGATACCACCCCCCTCCCCCTCCTATCCCACGCCCCCCCCCCCCCATAACTCCTTACCATGACATAATAGTGTCTGAAGAGCTTCAATTTTGCTAAGTTAATGGCAGCTGCTGGAAAAAAATACACAAATAAGGGGAATCAAGAGGCAGACGAGGATTGCCTGCATTGTTATCCAATGGGCACTGGAGCAAGGCGAGGCAGCAAAAACTTTGCACCCTATGCGCTCAGGGCTGGTGGCCTTAGCTGCCTCGCTTTACCTGGCATCTCGGTTTGAAATTCAAGGCTTTGTTGTGCATCTATAAATAACCTTGGTTTCTCTCCCAGGTCTCGGAGAGCTGGAAGAATGGATTTCGGCTCACGTTTACCTATTTTTTTTTCCTCCTGAGAAATCCACACCTGGATAGTTTCAAGGGCGAAGGTGGCGGAGTCTCTAGGACTCGGCTGGGTGACAAGAGAGGCAGCCAACATCTCTTAGCCATCAAGGTCAAGAAAGCAACCAGAAAAAGCGAAGGAAGTCCAGCTGGCCCCTTGAAGAAGCACCTTTGGGACAACCACGACTTGGGAAGGCTGAGAATATCCACGGTGTCAGGGCTCTGGCAGTTACCCCCATTTAAATCATGAGTCTCGAGCCCAACTTCCAAAACTTAAAAGATTTATTAGGAGTAAACATGCCAGCATTGCCTAGGTGTAGCCGACTCTGAGACACATCATTCATTGTCACCCTGGACCCTGGTTTTCCCCTCACCCCTTGGGTGTTTAATTCATATTCTCCAATGGGACACATCCATAGCTCAGAGTCATCAATCATACCCTCCAGTTAGAATTTTGCACGGCAGAAACTTCAGTCACCTAGAAACTATCTTTGAAAAACATTTATGGAATGCAACCTGCCCACTGCTTCCCCCCCCCTCACCCTTCCTTTCTGTTGGCAAAAGACCTAAAAAGACCTTAGAAATATTTTATGAGTTGACACGCGGACAACTAGCCTGCACAGCATCTCCTCAAAGCAAGGGAAGGTTGGAAAAACGGAACGATTTCTCTGAGGTTGGGCTCCCTTTGCTCAAATCCTCAGAAAGGGACGTGCTAACTTTCCCCCAGTTTTGAAGACCATCACTCGGTCAGTCGTCAACCCCCTACAACAGGTAGTCCTCGACTTACGGCCACAATCAAGAGCAACACTTCCGTTGTTAAGTCAGAAAGCTGCTTGAGGCGTTGTGCCCCACTAGATGGCCATGGTTGTTAAGCGGATCGGGCTTCCCCATTGGCTTGACAGATGGTCGCAAAAAGGGAACATGGGATCCCCAGGGACACTGCAACAGTCATAAGTACATGCCAGATGCCTGTTGAATGGGGAATGCGGCAACGGTTGTGTGAAAAACAGCCATTCACTTCAGTGCCGTTGTAGCTTCAGTCACTAAACAAATGGTTGTAACTCAAGGACTACCTGAATGCCTGGGTGTTTTCTAGGAACAGAGCAACCGGCTCTATGAAGCTACCTGTAAGAGTCTTAATTACCTGCAATTAATATAGAGTGATGATTATAGCCAAGGCATCTGGAGAATCAGGGAGTGGAGAAAACGGTCTTATCCCTCCCCAGCTGAAGCTTAATTGAAATCAAAATAGGATTTAGATTTCAGTGAGATGGCCACTAAGATGGCACTGGACGGCTGTTTCAAAAGAAAGATCAACCAGCTGAAGGATGTTGGTCTTAGTCATTAAAAGGGAGGGAGGGAGGGAGGGAGGAAGGAGAAAGGAAGGAAGGAAGGAAGGAAGGAAGGAAGGAAGGAAGGAAGGAAGGAAGGAAGGAAGGAAGGAAGGAAAGGAAAGGAAAGGAAAGGAAAGGAAAGGAAAGGAAAGGAAAGGAAAGGAGAAATGAAGATGAAAGAAGGAAGGAGGGAGGAGAAGTGAAGAGGAAAGAAGGAAGGGGAAGTGAAAAGAAGGAAAGAGGAAGGGAAGAAAATAAAAAGGAAGGAAAAAGAGGGAGGGACAGAAGGAAGGAAAGGTGAAGCGAATACCTGCTAATTTTGGGGGTGTCTTGGAGCCTAAATCAATAAAGCAATTCAAATATTTGGGTCCTTGCAAGAGGCCTTGGCTCACTCAAGATGACGAGGGATCCATTACAGAGCCAAGAGAGTAACTCATGGATAGGGAGTGGCTCCAATAAATTGGGGGTGAAAAAACCCAGTTCACCGATACTGGTAGGAAAGGAGTTGCTTGGAACCTCCGGCTGCAGAAATCTGGCGGAACCTCGACAATACCTGAAACAGCCCCCAATTGGGGGATCAATCACTTGCCTTTCCCATCGGTGGCAGAAGCTTCCTGTAAGTGTCGGATCAACCTAGGAGAGAGAACGACCAGCGAATTAAATGGTAGATCCCTGGGCAGGATCCTTCGAGCCCACTGAGGCCTAGAAAAGATGGTGGATCTACATAGAAGCCCCCCCCCCCCCCGCCTCTCTTTGGGGTTGAATCGAGATGGGGCATAAATAAATGTATCCCGCTGAGGGAAGTTGGCCGGGTTTTTTAGCTCTTCCCCAAAGCAGTGGCCTTAGTTCCTGCAAACTCACCATACCACGGGGAACAGGATGGCCCCGCAGCAAAGGAGATCCACCAAGAACAGGATCTCTCGCCACAGCCCGTATTCCGTGGTGCCTTCTTCTGTGGATTCCATGATGATGAAGGCCACGTTTGCCAAGACCTGGGAAAGGGGGAAACGGGGCGAATCTGACAACTGATTGTAGACAAAAGGCCGGAAGCAACATTGGGTAGGTCTAGGGCTGTTTCATAGATGAGACTTGAAATCACTTTATCCCAGGACAAAATCCTCCGTGGATACACTTTGTCTAACACACACACACACACACACACACACACACACACACTTTGGATTTACAACCATAATTGGAACTGGAACATCCATCGCTAATGGATTCAGTAGTTAAACGAGTTTAACGCCTTGCTAAGCGACGGAGGTTTTGGGCTCGGGGGCGGTCATTCAGTCAAGGGCCACCTATATTTCCTGCCTTCCCAGTCACGAGTCCTCCGGGGAGCTGGCTGCACAGTGTGAGTTGCAGAAGAGAATAGGCAACCCTGCAACCAACGTCATGCACAAATTGGGACGCTGCTGTGATGACCCAGGGTGGGATACAAACTAAACACAGTCACAAAAAACAGGTGAAGCCCCTTTTATTCCTTCACTTTGATTCCAAGCTCCAAATATCCTTGACTGGAGACAAAAAAACTCCCACACAAGCAGTTACAAGAAGGAGGAAATGCCGTTTGAATTATAAAGAGTAAAAAACCAACACAAACCAGGCAAGATAAGGGCTTGAAGACGTCCACAGATAACAGAACACACACTGGGAAGGACGCCAAACTCAGAAAGGAACAATAAACTAGAGATATTTCCACGCTTTGTTTCCAGCACTGGCCCATACGCATGTCCGTCCTCTTATCCAGTTGTCACAGCTGCAGCCCATGAAGAGGATCAAGGCCCTCTCCTCCCCAGTAGACCATGTCTCTCCTTTATCCTCTCCTCCCTGCGTGCCCTAGGATGGAGAGGGGATGGGCCTGGGTTCTCCCCTGACTGCCCAGCCGGCCTCTGCCCTTCCCCAGCCTCCTCCACAACCTCCGGAGCCACATTTCCACCCCCTATCGGCTGTTCCTCCTCTCCCTCAGAGTCAGTCTCCACCAGAGGCATGACACCTGCTTACAACAAACCCAGCCGAGAACTTCCTGGCCCGTCTCACCTGCAACGGGATGACAATCATGAAAATCTTCTTGTCCTTATCGGAGAGGATGTGCTTAATAAAAGCCCAGCCTGTGCCAATGAGAGCTATGGTGATGAACAGCAGGGCTCCTTTTAACCTGGTTAAAAACACAACAGACACAAACGGCGACAGGTTGACTGACGCATCCGGCAATTCCCAAGCAGCCCTCAAGCAAAAACAGTTCAAAAAGGACAAGAGATAACACTCCGGTGACAATCATCTCCTAAAAGCAGAGCACATGGCTCAAATGCAAAATAATAACAATAAATCATATTTTAAAGGAATCTTAGGTACTATTCTGGGGGCAGGAACGGTGGCACAATGCTTTGCAACTCCAGGTTTGGAAATCCTGATTTTAAACATTTATAAGAGTCCTGTTTTGAGCTAAAAATACAGGGAGAAGTCCAAAGCTTCCTGGGTGACTTTTACCAGTTGTTCTTTCTCTCTTGGCCCAGCCTACCTTCAAGGATTGTTGTGAAAGAACCAGGAGGAGAGAGAGCAGAAATGCCAACCTAATGACAGATACAAATCTAACTTCACAACAGATGTCCACAAGGCTGCCTCTCCAACTGATAACAATCTCATAAGTTTCTGGTAACCTTCATGCTGAAATCTCATCAAAGACGAAACCATTTTAAAACTGCAAGCTTTTGTAGAAGTGAGGAGACACGGTTTGTCTTGCCACATGCCATCTAAGATATCACAGCTGCCATTAACCCATACTAGATTGGTTTAAATCTACAACCAAACTCCAGAGACTTACAGGTGTGTGATATAATAGACCACAGCCCAGCCCTCGATGGGGTAGCCCTGTGTGGAGATATAGTGGTAATCGATCTGGGGGCAAAAAAAAATAGAGAGAGAGAGCAGGAGTAAGTGCAAAGGTTGATATACAGCCATTAAACTTTTTAAGTATTCCTATCAAGTTTTGTTACAATAGCCTTCCATTCTAATAAGATTCTAAAAAGAAGAAACAAATTAACATGTAAATAAAATCCAATACAAATAAAGCTTCGATTTGGCTGACAATTGGGTAAAAAGGGGGTGTCTGTTAAATCCAAAGGTCCACTAAATCCAAATGTCTGCTAAATCCAAATGTCCGCTAAATCCAAATGTATGCTGTTAAGTGTCATTTGTGTAAACTGACCAAAGGATATAAAAATGTTAAGTATGTAATTATACAAATGATGTTGATGGTCCAGACTGTTTAATTAAATTTGGATTACTGTTTGGGAGGGAAGGGGGTGAATTCTGAAGCAAAATGTTGCTTCTTCCACTCAAAATCTACGGAATGGAAGTCAGAATAATCCAGGTTTTAGTGTAAAACATACTGCGGCTAAGTAAAGCAACTGGAACGAAGTAAGGCAAGACAGCCAAGTAATCTGCAGATGTTTTACAGCAATTCCTGGAAGTCAGTCCGGCTGATTGTCAGAGGTGAAAGAGATGACAGTCCAAATCATTGGCAAGTTAAGCACTATCTGTAGAAAAACAGTCTTGTTTGGCCTCAATCTCTGGAACAGGCAAACTCTTCAGAGGGCTGGACTGGCGGACATCCAAAGTCCCTTCCAGCCCAATGATTATAAACGATTCTTTCCCCCTGCGGCACAGGAACAAGGGAATCCAGGAGCAACTTACCGCATGGAAGACTAAAGAAAGGGATTTGGTGAAAGGAAGCAAAGCCATTAACCAATGGATCTTAAAAACGTCAGCCCTGCAAGACAAAACGGGACACCTGAAAAGTCAATAAACGTGTTTAGGTATTACAACCATTGCAGTATTTTCATGGTCACGTGATCAAAATTCAGGCTTTACGACTGCCTTGCTTTGCAAAGGAAATCTGATCTCCCTTGTTTCTCCTACAGCGAGAGGAGTATCTACCTGGGAATCTTCGGCTGCGATTCCTAAGATTGACCGATGGGCTCCAAGTGAAGCTTTCTTTGAAAATCCCCCTTGGGGAAACCGGTTCACACAGATTGACAGAACAACACGGTTGGAAGGGACACCTTGGAGGTCATCTTGTCCAACCCTCCCCACCCCCGCCCAAGCAGGAGATCCTACATGTTTTACCTGAGCTTCCGAAGGGTGTGGACCCACACGACCCCGGCCACAAAGAAGAAAAACGCCATGGAAATGTAGAGTTTGGGAAGCGGGATTTCTCCAGCGGAGAGGTAGCTGTTTGGATTATGCTCGGTGATGGCAATCTGCAAGCAGAACAGGGGTCACCAGAAAGCTGGAAGCTGTTTGAAGGTCAAAGGGGAGAAGACGACAAGCATCTTATGGAACCCTGGCTGGGAGGCTGCTTCAGGTAAGGATCCATTCCTCCAAGGACAGGAAAATGCCCTTCTCCGAGCAGCAGGCTGGAACTCTACGGTCCTTTTTCAAGAAGATATCGTAGAATAATAGAGCTGGGTGGGACCTCGGAGGTCTTCTAGTCCAACCCCCTGCTCAAGCAGGAGACCCTAGGCCATCCTGGACAAATGGCTGCTTTTCAGTTTGTGTCTCTCATCTGCTTCTGTATCTTCTGGACCTCGGGGACCGTTTCCCTCCCACGCAATTCGCAGCCAATTTGCTCCTTGGTAGAAACACTGAGGTTGTGTGAACGGGTTAGGGTTAATGCAAGTCAACGAGATTTCTCTGTCTCACAATCCTGCTTGGTTTCATTTTAATTCTTCTTTTTTTTTAATTTAAGACCCTTATTTATCGTTCTGATGTTTTGTAAGACGTTTTATATGATGTCTGTCAGCCATCAATGGATGGATGGAATAAGAGACAGACAGACAGACAGACATATATATGGATAGACAGACAGACAAATGAAATGAGAGATATAGATGCAAATAGATAGACAGACTTTTGATAAGGAGTTTCATCTGGGAACAATGAAACGCCCACGAGTAATTCAATTCCTGACCCTTGGAAGGAAAAGAGAAAGAAGAAAAGCAACTTACGTCCAAGCTGAAGGGGACTTGTTCAATCTGCACGTTTCCCAGTATGCACTTGTGGAAATAAAGACTATAAAGTCCTTCTTGTTCTTTTGAATTGATGCTGAACTGAAAAGCACACCGAAAGAAGAAGGGATGACTTTGGCCAGATTTTGCACAGATTGCGAATTAAGGTGCTTTATTGGCTATGTTTTTTTTTTTACTGTTTTTCTTTGTTGCAGGTTTCACTACAAATTACTTTACCAGATAACTTTGGGGTGGCTGTGCACAGCAATATATACAATTTATATATTCATTCATTCATTCACTTTCTACAGCCACCCGACTCAATCAAGTGACTCTGGGTGGCTTTAGAAATTACATACCCAATAAATATCCAGGATGGCATTCTGCTGATATTATTTACCTCTCAAATATTTTCATCTATTCTATTGCAAAGCTGTCTCCATTCTGCTTTCAAAGCAAAATGAGAGGAATTCTGGATGCGCCTGGATAGCGTAGTTGATCTCTATTCATTATTTCATTGGTGACATTTTTTTTTTATAAGGCTCAGCAAACACCACTGAAAAACGTTTCAGCTGTAATATTTCGTTTAACTGAAAAAAATTATCTTGCCCTCCTGGTGTCTTCGCAACTGCCACAAAGGCAGATGAACGCAACCAATAAAATCCCTCTACAATAAACGCACAGCAACACAAAACAAATACAGTTAGTAACAACCTGTGTTACTAGCTTAACAGTGGCAGGGATTCCTTAACAACAACAAAAGTCAGAAAAAGGAATCAGTCCAGTGGGAGCCTCAACTTACAACCGTCATGGCATAAGACAGAAATTCCGGGCTCCATTAACGGTCGTAAGTGAAGGACCATCCGAACAGCAAAATAAAAGGCAAAAAGAAACAGGAATCCAACAACTTATATGAGCAGAGCCAAATAACGGAAGAACAGGATTTAAGAGACAAGTCAGGGAATCTTTTGGCTGGCAGGAAGCCGATGTTGTTTTTCAACCTGCAAACAGGCAGGGCCAAATTTAAAAATTTATTTCATTTTCCTCTTTGAGGAAATGGTAGGCAGTTCAGCCCCCTTGCATGAGTGGATGGCCATGGCGAATAGGCAACAATACAAATCTAATAAACTAATAAAAAATGTGCACGCACACACACAAAACACAACACACACACACCCTGGCCATTTCAAACCAAGCCAAGGCCTGCTCAGGTTTCATAAGGAATGGTAAGGACAAAAAGCACCTACCTGGAATGAAAAACTATTGTTCCCGCTTTGCATTGGGTGTGTTCTCACAGCAGGCACCTGGTGGACAAAATATATATATATATATATTTATATGAAGTTTTGTGGCTATGCCAAATCAGATCGGAAGCAACAGGTATAAATTCTGGTCACCGTATTATAAAAAAAAGGTGTTGAGATTCTGGAAAGAGTGCAGAGAAGAAGAACAAAGATGATTAAAGGACGAGAGGCTAAAACCTACGAAGAACGGGTCGCAGGAGTTGGGTACGTCTAGTTTCATGAAAAGAAGGACTAGGGGGTGACATGATAGCAGTCTTCCAATATTTGAGGGGCTGCCCCGAAGAAGAGGGAGTCAAGCTATTCTTCAAAGCACCAGAACACGGATAGATAACCTAGTTTAATCCTTGGTGACTCCCCGACAATAAACTGCCAGAGATTGGGGTTGGTAAGAGGCAGGCAATGAAGTTAAAAAAAAAAAAAAGCTTTCAAAAGCTTTCTTCAAACTGATGATAGCCTCCATGGCAACGTTGCTCCAGGCTGGCAGCCTGAAGACGCGTGGACTTCAAACTCCCAGAATTCCCCAGCCAGCAGGCTGAGCATCGCATGCAACAGGTTGGAGAAAAAACATTACCTCTTCCGTTGAGAATCGAGCTGCTGCTTACCTGGACTTCCGTCGTGTTGTCCTTAGGCACCTGCTTTGGTTCTAAAAGGTGAAGACAAGCAAAATCAGAACACGATTCGAACAAGGGAGGGCGGGAAATGGGTACTTTAGATCATCCAACTGGCCTGTATGCAGAAGGACACATCTACATGACCTTCAGACTTAATTACAGGTAGCCCTCGAATGGCAACAGTTCCTTTCGTGGCTGAAGTTGTACATGTCTCACTGCGTTGTACTGCATATACACCACGTCCCTCAACTTGTCTGGGTACCCTAAAAGTACTTTTTTTCAGGAGGCAACTGGACTTTCTTGTTTTTTCCTTCTTCAGCTCTGACAGGATAGTGGGGAATGGAAGGATTTATATTCCTTGCAGACAGAACTGGTCTTTTGCATCCTTTTAAAGGGTTGTTGAAGGACTTGGGAGATTTACCTAGGTCCTCAGGGTCACCTGAGTAGTGCTCCTGAGTCCTGTAGTCTGCAATTTTTTTTCCCTCTGGAAATCCATTCCTACTCCCACACCATTCAAAAAGCACCTTTGGGACAACTATGACCTGGATGACTGAGAATCTCTACAGATCGGGTGTCTGGATGTTTTATCCTTGGGGTGGAAAACCTTCTGCCTTAGTGTATTTTGGGGTTTAAAGTGTGTACGTCTACTGTGTTGGTGGAATCAATATTGTGATCCTTCAGGACAATGACGGAGAATCAACCACAGACAGCTCTATACCAGCACTGGGTGAATTCTTGGCTTCTCTTAATTATTTCTTATATAAGAATTCTTAAATTTCATGTCGCAAAGGAAGTGCCATGTTGGGAAAGAACTTACCAGATTTCTCGGTAATTCCTGGAGGACCAGTTGCTTGGGATTCGCTGAAGATAATGTCAGGCAACTGTGGGGTTTTGTTTTCGAACTTGACTTTGACCCTGCAGGCGACAAAGGACAAAGTTTGAGTTGAATGCTGATTGAGAGGCCAAAACAAAAGAACAAAAGAACAAGAGCATCGGATGACCCCAATGTCACAGAGTCATTTCTTCCAATTTAGTTTGCACCAAAATGAGACACTGGCTTATTGATCTTTTTGTTTTAATTACACTCCTTAAATAGATTCAATTCGTCCAGGAGAACGAACGACTCTGGCATGCTTTAATTCTCAAATTAACTTGAGCAATCTTTCAAAATCTTTCCTTTTAGGCATCTCATTAAAATGACTGGGATATTCTCTATCCTCAGATAGAGAGAAAGAAACAGAGACAGAGAGAGAGAGAGACAGAGAGAGAGATGAAATAGAGAGAAGAAATAGAGAGATGAGATAGGGACAGATGAGATATAATTATTAGATATAGAGATAGATAGATGAAATAGATAGATAGATAGATAGATAGATAGATAGATAGATAGATAGATAGTTTTTAAAAGACGACTTTAAGCTGTCTTGGCTGCATTGCTTTTGAAGCTCAGCAAACATTAAAAACAGAGCTTTCTACGTGTTTCTCAACCCTGGCACTTTAAAGATGTGTGGATTGCAACTCCCAGTATTCCCCAGCCACCCCCAGTTCCCCCAGATTCCTTACAGCTTCTCTGAGAAATCCAGGAGCAGAATGATAGCCAAGACTTCATGGCTTGGCTTTTGATTCAAGATGCAGTAATCCACTTTTTCGTTCTGTCAAAAAAAACAAAAGAAAAAAGAAAAAAAAGGCGGTGGGGGGGAGGGAAGCAAAGAGATACTTATAGGATGAGGATGAACCCCTTTAATTAAACAGCATCCAAACGGCTTTTAAAGTCAGCTGGTCTCGGTACGATCCTCGACTTATAACCACTACCTTGTAACTAATGTGTGGCCCTCTGTTGTGCCTGGAAAAGGTAACGAATCACAAGGCAACCGAGAACAAGTTTTAGTTTGCGTGACAACTAGATTTGACAATATTTGTCCAAAATGCACGGCATTACCCAATTCAAAGAGTTTCAGAGCAGCTGAATATCCAGGTAGGACTTTCTTACCAGGTAAGTGGGAAATCCATCGTTCTGCGTTCGATCTAAGCTGAAGCCCACCTGAAAAAAACATATATATATTTTTAACGAAGGGTTAATATTCGAGGCTGCCTGCAGGTTTTGAAAAAAGCGAGAGACACTGATTTAAAATCCGATGTGCCAAGGAAGCAGGCCTATTTCTTCTGAAGACCAGCCACTCTTGGGGGAGCGAGTTCAAATGTGAATGTCCTCCTTCTACACTCAACCACAGTTGCGTGACGGACGTCGGGCCAAAAAGGGACTTACCTGAATGTCTTTGTCACTCTCCCCCACGGATTGGACCGAGAGGCTGTTGACGGTGACTCTCATGAACCCATTCCGGAAGAAGCCAAATGTGTTGAGGTGGACTTTCTGCCTCAGATCATCCTGGAGCAGAGGAAACGGAATTTCTGTTTATAGGGGGCCATAGATGGAAGCGGGTGTCAGCAAAACAGCCCCATTGAATGTTTGGAGTCCTTGGTGGTCCCTGAGCTTGGAGGTTTCCTTGCCGACGTTTCATTACCAAGCTGGGTAACATCATCAGGGCTAGAAGGAAGGAGGGCTTGATGATATTACCTATTTGGGTAATGCAATGTCTGCATGAAAACCACCAGGCTCAGAGACCACCAAGAACCTCCCACAGTAACCTCCTCCTCCTCTTCTCCTTTTCCTCCTCCTCCTCTTCTTCCTCCTCCTCTTTTTCTCCTTCTCCCCCCCTTCCCTTTCTTCTTCTTTGTGGAACTATGGGAAGCCTATGAAGCAGTAGCTAATTGCCAAATGCAGGTAGTTCTCTAGTTATGGCCAGTCGCTTAGTGACAATTCAGAATTACAAATGGACCTTCCCAGGGTTTACTTACAACCCAGATTTGAACTTCTGACAGCTGCCCCCACCCCCTCCCCGATCACATGATTATATTTTGGGCGACTGGCAACTGGCCCACATTTACGGTAGCATTCAAAGCCAAATAAACACTCGTGCCTTTATTGTCCTGGGTGCAATGTCAGTTGGCTTTTTGCTTGTTTGTTTTGAGAAGATCACGAAAGATGGAGGTTACGGTACGCAGGGGAGAGAAACAAAAAAAGGGTTCCTAATCACGGTTGAAAGTCACTGGCTTGGCTGCCCTCTAACCATCTGTGTTATAATTAGACTCACTAATCACCTACTCGTACAATGACACAAATCTCCTAAGATCTGCCAGGAGGATGAGACCCCTGATGAGCCTCCATCTGGCAGGGTTTGGAGAACGTGGTCCCTCACCAGAGACGCATTCCACAAAGTCGAAATTCTGGTGGGGCTTCCAAGTGATCTGATTACGGAGAAGAGAGACCACAGAGACAGAGCTACGACAATCCTCCACTCATCTTTATGAGTGCCAACGCTAGTTGAACACCCAGAACGACCTGAATGGCCTCAAGGTTGCCTTCCAGAGTCCTTCAAACACAATGTCCACGTAAGGGAGATCCTCAAAAGACATGCCTGTTGCAACTCGGAACAATTGTTAAACTGTTGTAAGTCGAGCACTACTGGTATTGTAGGAAATGAGCAGGGTGAACTGGACAGTGGAGTTAAATGTGTCATCAGTTTGGAGTCGCTGCACAAGAGACCCAAGGATCCAGACGGCTATGAATCCCGTTGACCTTTATCTAGCGCCAATTTAGCCCTGACCGTTAGTTGATTAAATTGTAGTATCTAGGTTGCAACAATAATGTTGCTTTGAAGCCAAAAAAATGTTCCTGGTTAATTTGCACCTGACAATTAACTGTAATACGAAGAGGCGCTGAATGGCTGTCCTGATTCAGCAGGAATCTTTTTCGCTTATGACTGCAGTTATGTCAGGCTGCAAGAACCAAGGAGGACATGTAGAATGACTTCTGAGCGTTTTCCTTCATTCGTTCCTCACCTCCAGGCAAAAATCTTGCCAAACTAAAGCAAGTATTTGCGTCGCTATAAATACACTCTCTAAGAATTGCGAGGGGGGAGCTGTCTGAACTCTCTTCCTCCCAACCAAGCCATCTAAGCTTGTCTGACGCTTGGGCCTTCTGAAAGGCAGCCCCTCCTTCCTCCTGGGAATCCAGACTAAGCTCCCCACGGAATATATATATTCCTAACTTCGGAAGTGCAATCGGATTCTCTTCATATTTATTCACAAAGGTCTGTGATGAAGATGCTGAGGAAGCAACACGGAGTAAATTAGGTGCAGTACTGCTTCGGCAGTAGAACATGGGAACAACCTTAGGAAGCGGGAGGAGGAAAATGATCAAATAAATTAGGGAATAATCAGATAAAAGAAGGAATAGCCCAGAGCTGCATAACAGGCAGAGAAAGAAATTCAGAAAGGAATCTCCTTAGCTTTTCAGGCTGAAAAAGAGACGGTGGGAGATTTGTACTTTCAGACTTGCAAGATTCTATTAATATAGCTTTTGAGAACAGTCAGAGAAGAGGGAAAAGCCCAGAGCTGCATAAAGGACAAAGAAAGAAACTCAGAAAGGGATCTCTCTAACAGACTGTAAAAGAGACAATGGGAGATTTGTACTTTCAGACTTGCAAGACTTTGTTAAGGTAGCTTTAGAATAAATTAGAATTAGTTGCTCTGCTTGCATTTTCCATCAGGTTTATCTAGGAAGGCTGACAGCTTTCTAGGGCATTCATAAGATCTTTCTGGCAGACCAATTCTCACAACGTACAGAACAAAATCAACTTTTATATTCCTATCAAAACCAAGAATCATTGCAAAATTAGAGTACAAGATATCTGCAAAATTCCAACTTTTTTTTTTTTAGTTTACTGCCAAAAAAAAAGTAGTAGTAGTTGGTTTGGTTCAGCAAAGGAACATTTCACAATACTGTCAACTCAACACAATAAAATATGGTGACACACCAACATATTTCCTCCCACCCCACCCCCCACCCCCCCAGCAACAATATCAAATGCTGAAGTGATATATTACGAGATTAAGAGTTCTAGCTGATGTTAACTGGATGTTCTGAACAAAAAAATTTAAAGAGAATAAATTGTATTTTCAATTGCAATGTTAAGCCTCAGTAGCTGAAAAGAAAGCTATATTGTAAGCACGGTCACTGGTGCATTAAAATAAACCACCTTAATACGGTGCTTACTGTTCTTTCAGGAAATGAGATATATTTTCTGAGAATTGCAGTTATGAAGGCAACTTGTATCCGAGGATAAAGGAAAGCCATTGCCTAGTTAAACTTCTTACAATTCGAAGATTTCAAAAACAGTTCAACATGAAACAACCTAGTAGTAACAGATCAAAATAGTAACAGATCAACGTCATTCCGAGCTAGAAATTTTAAAAACCCACTTAAAATTAAGCAGTGTCACAAATATACACAAATGTGAGTGGTGCGGTGCGCTTAGAGGTGGAGCTCTCGGTTCACAATCAGGAGGCTGTGAGTTCGATCCGAGGTAGAGGCAGATATTTCTCTGGGCACAATGAGAATACATCTGCTGAATATAACTCTGCATCAGCGACAGGAAAGGCATCTGGCCAGTCAACTCTTGGCTCTATTCAGTTGCCCAGACTCCACCCCGACGCAAGGGATTACAGGGTCGTTGAAGGAGGAGGATGGTGACAGATATAGATAAAATGTAGCATGAACAAGCAAAAGGATCATCCTGACTATTTCCACTTATGCATTTGCCACCACTTGTAGAGTCTTGCTAGACATTTTACTCGAAAGACACTCCAAGTAGTAATTTTAAGACATGACGCCTTCCGTGGACCCGTGCCAAAAAAGCTGACTTTTAAAGAATGCGTTTAAAGCGGGCCGATTCAACACGTGCAGGTTGAACAGGGATCCAAGATGAGGATGATGGGTCTAGGATGTACCAGCCTAAAGAGATGGGGCCTGGGGTAGTGAGAGTGGAGGGTAATAGCCTTAAGAGATCCCAGGCTGGGGATGATGGGGGTGTTGGGGGGGGATACAACAGTCTTAAAGGAATCCAGCCAAGAGTGATGTGACTGGGGTGCAAAACCGCTAAAGGATTCCAAGCTGGAGATGATGGGACTGGAAGGTACCATCCTGAAGGAACTCAGCTGGGGAGGATGGTTGTTGGGATACAAGTGTCCTAAAAAGGAACCTAGCGAAGTACGATGGGACTGAATGGATTCCAGCCTGGGGATGATGGCTTTTAGGGGAGGAAAGTGCTAAAGCAACCCAGCCAGGGATGATGGGACTCAGCTGGGGATGATGGGGACGGGGTGTAAGAAGGGGCTGGGGATGATGGTGTTTGGGGTAGAAAACTCCTAAAGCAACCCAGCCAAGGACGATGGTTCTGGGGTGTACCAGCCTAATGGGGTTCCAGGCTGGGGATGATGGGGCTGCAGGAACGGGGAGTATCTGAGGGCTGGAGGCTCCGGGTGGGGCGGGGATAAGGCCCTCCGCGTGTCTCGGCGCCTGCCCGTCCGCCCCGTCCGCCTCCTCGGCCGCCTACCCTGAGGGTGAGATGGTGGAGCCGGGCCTGCGCGGGGCCCCCGGAGAGCAGCCCGGCCAGGAAGGCCAGGAGGAGCCGGCAGGGGAAACCGGAACCGCCGCCGCCGCCGCCGCTCCCTCCCGACGCCATCTTCACTCCAGCAACAACATCGCCCCGCCCGCCCTCTTCCGGGGTTAAAGGTCACCGGCCGCCCCGCCTCTCTGGCGGCGCCGGCAGGAGCGTCGCGGGACTTCCGGTGAGGGGAAAGCGAAAGCGGGCGGACCATAGAGAGGCCGGGAGAGAGAAGGGTGACGTCTCAACTAGCGGCCGCTGCTTTCTTCGCGCATGGAGGGAAGGCGGGTGTCTCAAAGGGCGCCCTCTGCTGTCTCCCAAGGGTGCTGCACCCTGTCACACCGCATCCTGAAGCCACATTTCATTGGTTATGAGTGTTTTTATCTATCTAATCTATCTTATCTATCTATCATCTGTATCTATCTAATCAGTCTAATTTATCTATCTCATCTATCATCTATCCACATACACACACTGTTGTAAGTATATACATGCACACTACATTTATATATTCAACTTTATTCATATATATCAAGTACACAGTATGTGTATATATGTGAACATACACTCATATATTTTATATAACTTCATATAATATATAATATATTTATATAACTATATAATATTTATATAACTTCACGTATCAGCAGTCAAATGTATATAGCCAACTTGTATTTGTGTTTGGTTTTTTTTGTATATGTTTGTGTGTATGCATGGTGTGTGTGTACTTGATATTCTTACTTATCTTCCCCGCAAGCATAACATAAACCACCACGATAGGGGTTAACCCACTCGCCAAAGATATGGTTGATAAAGCCATGGCTTAGTCTCTGTGTTCAACCCAGATACAAAACCCAGCCTCACAATAATTCTACTACAAAACAGGCTCAAAGCCTTCATACATAATAAATATATATATACACACAAAGACAACCTGCAAAGGCAGGAAGTATAGACTCACCTGCCCCTGCCTTCATCTCTACCCAACCCTTCGGTAGTCCAGCCAACATGTTTTTTAAAAAAATAAATTTTATTGAATAAACATTAAAAACAATCGAACATAGTGCGACTTTCTTGGGCATAATTTTGGCCATACAAGTATAGAGATACACATAACTATTAATTTCCTTTTTCCCTTATGTTATTAGTATAGTGCTAGCTGCATATTATTTCTGTTTACATTTATCTACAATTATATACATATCTACAACTGCCTTTTATACTCATGTATTCGTATCATCTCATATTTGTCCATTATATTCCATTCTCTTTGGTATACAAAACTTTAACTTTTATTTCTATAAAGCGTCAACCCTTTCCTTCTTTTTCCTTGACTCCAGCCATTAATACATTTTACTCTAGACTTCATAATATCCTGTCTAACCCTTATCTTTGATTTCTAAAGTTAGTCTCTCCATCTCTTGTTTTATTTTGCACTAATTATGTAAACACATCCCCCAATTTGGGGTAGTTCAATAGATATTTGTGCTGTTTTGTGTACTTCTTGGAGCCCTATTATATTCACATTCATTTTATTAAGTTTGTTGAAAGGTTTTTTCCTTTTTTGAGGTGAATTCAACCCATTTATGTTCAAGGACAATATCCATATTTCTTCCTGCATTTTCTTACTTGAATCTAGTTTTAATTGTTATTCTGGTTTCTCTTGGTTCTTCTCTCAGCCAACATGTTGTGTACATTCAGTGAAGGTGTAAAGAAAGAAAGGTTGGCTCACCATATTAAATCCACCCCATGTTTGAATTTCCTGCATAATATCACACATACCAGAGAGGGTATGTAACAGTAAATGTTGAGGATCCTTACATATTCAGAGATATCTTTGCTTATCAGGAGTTGAAGATTAAGTCCGGAAGTAGTATGAACAAGCCCGAAGACTCCTGAAATTTACAAAAAGGTTTACAATCCTTTTTCGTACTACCTTCTGTCTAATTTGGCAACTTATACAATCTTCTTTTTAAGCAGGATGAGATTGTCCCGAGTTGATAACTGATAGGGGGGGGAAAAGTTTAATTAGGCAGAATCTATATTTGTAATATATTCCTCTGGTGGTGCCAATGTTATAATTTGGGGTTGTTTTTTTACCAGCCTATTTGATGGCTAAAATCTGTTTTTCCAACTGCTGTTGCTAATCTCGTGGCCAGATTCAGAAAATATTTTGCTTTGAACATCCTGTTGAAACCTGACAACACTGCAGACATAAATATAAACAGACAGATTAATGTAGCAATGAAGTATATGTGTGTCTGTGTGTGTGTGTGTGTCTCACAGGGTGAAATTGACTGGTGTTCTCCCTTTCACCACTAGATGTTGCGTGAATACATTTCTTTGCCAGATTTCAGTACGCATTTAATTTAAGAATCATTACTTTGACTTCCTGTTGTAATGATTAAGCTGCTTGCTTAATTATTCAAACGATTCTACAAACCAATTGAAAAATGAATTGTCTTAATGTAGGACTCTAAAAACTGACCTTGTTCAATGTTAAGATAAATCATGCTTGGCTTAACCTTGGTTTAGTTTATTAATATAATGCACCGAGCTGATCATCGTAATTCAACTTTTTTTTTTTTTGCTCTGTAAAGCCGCCTGAAAAGTTTCGTGAAACATAAAAAGATGTGTAGTTTTTTTTTTTTCCTTTGAACGTGCTTGAATGTGGCAAGTGATCCTTGATGAGTTTTGATAGCTGTTGGTATTATTGTTTCTTTCGTGCTTCATTATGGCTGGGGATGTGTTGTGTGTAAGACGAGCAGCATCGAAGTCTTTCTGTTTAAATAATCAAAGTCTTTTGATTAAAGTGCTTGATTTATAATGGTTCATTTAGTGACCATTCAAAGTTACAATAGCGCTGGAAAAAATTTTGACTTAGACCATTGTTCACACAACCCTGGTGGCATTCCTGTGGTCACATGATAAAAATTCAGATGTTTGGCATCTGATTCATATTTATGACAAGTCACGAGATCCCCTTGTGCGATCTTCTGACAAGCAGAGTCAATGCGGAAACCAGATTCACTGAACAACGAGGTTACTAACTTAACTGCAGTGATTCACTTAATAACTGTGGCAAGAAAGGTCATAGAATGGGGTGAAACTCCCTTAAGAGCTATCTCATTTAGCAGTGGAAATTTGGGACTCAGTTATACTGCAAGCTACTCCTACTACTATTTGGCAGGTCGAATCCCACCAGGCTGAAGGTTGACTCAGCCTTCCGTCCTTCCGAGGTGGGTAAAATGAGGACCCAAATTGTTGGGGGCAAGAGGCTGACTCTGTAAACCACTTAGAGAGGGTTGTGGAGCACTGGAAAGCAGTATATAAGTCTAAGTGCTTTTCCTTTCCTTTCCTTTCCTTTCCTCCCTTCCATGGTGGTGCAGTGGTTAGAATGCAGTATTGCAGGCTGACTCTGCCCACTGCCAGCAGTTCGATCCTGACCAGCTCAAGACTGACTCAGCCTTTCATCGTTCCATGGTCGGTAAAATGAGAGCCCAGATGGTTGTTGGGGGCAAGAGACTGACTCTGTAAACAACTTAGAGAGGGCTGTAAAGCACCGTGGAGCAGTATATAAGTCTAAGTGCTATTGCTATATGTCAGGGACCACCTGCAAGCTGAAACTAGGAATTGGATCGCCTTGCTCACGTCAAATGCAGCAGCCAGTTTTCTTATGGTCTGTTCTCTCGTGCTTTTAAAAAGCAAATTCTGCTTTTCTCGGTGTATTTAAAATAGTTTCTATGCAAAAATGACTCAGGTCTTCTAAAATCGGGCTGATCCTTGACCACCAAGGCCAAAATATGCAAAAATTTCGTTCCTTCCGCTGTCTCATAATTAACATCCATCGAATTTTTTTTTTAAAAACTTTACTTGCTGCATTTTATTTTTACTATCCGTTTCTCGACCAAAAAAAAACGGGCAATGAGACTTGCACGATCAGGAAGAAGCTGTGACTGTTATAAGTGCGAGAACCGGTGGCGGGTCCCTTCTTTTCACTTTGAATGGTCACTACATTGTTAAGTTGAGGGCTTCTTATGAAAATCCACGGCTTGTTTACACTGGGTCCCAAACGGCTCGCCATCTAAACATTGACAAAGAGGAAGAGGCAGGAAGGAGAAGGAAAAATGCTTCGGTTCGGGGGTGCATGATTTGAACTCGGGGCAGGCCTTCGCCACGGTTACTCAGTAGGGAGTTTCTGCCATGAGAAGGCAGCTTTTTCTTCGGGAGAGAGGGGGAATATGGGTATTGTCATTTATTTATTCATATCCTGCCTTTTCATTGCTTTTTGCAAATAACTCAAGGCGGCAAACACACACACACACAAATACTCCTCCTTCCTCCTATTTTCCCCACAACAACCCTGTGAGGTGGGTTGGACTGAGAGAGAGGGAGTGGCCCAAAGTCACCCAGCTGATTTTGCATATCAAAGGCGGGACTTGAATTCATTATCTTCTGATCATTGGCCAGAGGTTACCCAACCAGCTTTCATGCCTAAAGCTGGACTAGAACTCTCAGTCTCCTGGTGATTGGCCCAAGATTAGCCAACCAGCTTTCATGGCTAAGAGGGGACTAGAACTCACTGTTTCCTGGTGATTGGCCCAAAGTCACCCAGCTGTCTTTCATGCCTAAGGCGGGACTAGAACTCCCAGTCTCCTAATGATTGGTGCAAGGTTACCCAACCAGCTTTCATGCCTTAGGCGGGACTAGAACTCCCAGTCTCCTGGTGATTGGCCCAAAGTCACCCAGCTGTCTTTCATGCTAAAGGTGAGACTAGAATTTCCTGACTCCTGATGATTGGCCAGCTTTCATGGCTAAGGCGGGACTAGAACTCACATTTTCTTACCTTCTAGTCTGGTGTTTTGACTGGGTCTCCAAAACGCAGATGTAACACACACACACACACACACACACACACATACCGAATAAGATGTATTTTAGAGATTTTAATTCCGATCCTGCCCTACGGCACCTTCACAACTGCGATCATCCGCAAGACATTTGGGCGTTTTCACTGCATTCTTGTTGACCGGAGGTCTCGCAGTGGCTCTGACAAAGAACAATGGTTGTTTTCATGCACAACACACACA